AATCCAAGTGTTCAGAACTACTTCTGGTTTCATGGGCTTGCAATGACCCAGGTCTGGATTCTTCAAGCCATACCTTGAGCTCAGGGAAATGCATGCATTTGAGTTCTGGGAAATAAGAGCCTTTCATATGAAAGGAAACAGCTCATGTGGTATTATACTTGTGTCTCTGCCCCTGAAAAAAACATTACTTTTTCAGGTCTTCTTTTAGTTGCATTTACTTTTAGAAAAATAAAAAATAAAAAAGACCACAAACCCTGGGACTTCTGCTTCTGCCTGGATAAATGGTCCCTTGCTTATATTGGCTCCTGTCTTCTTTTTAAACCAGTACTTGCCCAGTTTTCTAGCTAACTTTTCCTAAGTTCCACTATGTTGCTGTTTTCTCTTGGTTTAGCTTGTAGCCTCTGTGCTACTTAGAATTCTATGCCACATTCCCCAAACCAGTCTCGATTACCCAACCCAAGATACTCACTTCTAAAACCAGCCTTTCCTTGGCTTTTTTTATTTCCCCACACATTTTCTCACCTTGTTCCACCCACTCCTGGGGCCAAGCAGACAGCTTAAAGCTAATGATTTCTCTCAAGCAAGCAGCCTCTCTCAAGGCATTCCAGATTTTTCACATTTGTCTGTGCAGCACTGGTTCCCAGAGTCTCCTGTCTGCAATTCAACATCCTGGAGACCAAAGGACATGCTCAAAATGAGATGGCTCAGGCTCTTTTTCTCCCCCAGAATATATACATCATTAAAAAAGGCTAGATGGGCAAGCTTTGTGGAAGACAGGGTGGACTTTCAGTCTGGCAGATCATTGTGTGTCTTTCCCCAGTGACATCTCATCTTGCAACTAGAGAGACTGGGGTGGAAGGAAAAGCATCAGCTAGAGAAGACAAGACAAGACAGGTCACTAGTAAGCCCCTAAGCCTGGAGCCACATTTACTGCCCACAGAAAGCAACCCTGGCATATGATCACCATCTGTACCATGCATCAAAACAGCACCTTCACCTCCAAGAAAGCATAACTTCAATGACACCCCTGGGTGACTGAGTTGGTGCTAGCAATTGCAGATTTTAGGGAGCAGGATGCAGCTGGGACAGGGAAGACCCTGTGGCCCCTTCTCAGCAGTGCTCAGACTGATGTTCCTCTCAGCTCTATTTCACAAGGCTCTAGAGAAAACAGCTGATGAAGGAGGGTGGGTGATAGGAATGTCTGCCTGGGCACGATGGGAATTAGTCCTGGCTTGCCCCAGGGTGGTGTGAGACCTGTTGGTGTTCCCAGGCAGCAGGTATAGCTGTCTTCTCTTTGTATAGGCAGGATAATGGCAAGTATCTCTCCTGGAAATGGATAAGGAGCATGAACTTTTGTCTTTGCCTCCCAAAAGTCCCTGCATTCAGATTCATGGCACTCAGTGAGAGTTTCCCTCCAAATCTGCTCTTAGGATTATGTGATTCTTCCTCCCCTCACATGCTTCAGGGGCACCCCAGAGCCCATCTTCCCACAGGGAAAAGCACCATCACCCATGCTGGTGGACAGGTCTGCTTCTGGTCCAGGGAAGGTGCTTCTCCAAATGAGGTCTCAGGGCATTCACCAGGAACTCAGCACAGCTGCTTTCCCTCTTCCCCTCCAAAACTGTGATGCCCCAAAGGGATGCAGCAGTTTCCATGTCTTTGAACACAAAACTCCTTCCCCCCAGCAAATCTCCATCAAGCACCAAGAGGCAGGGGACATAAAGCAGCAGCAGCAGCTGAGGAGGCATCATGTTGCAGAAGTGCAGCTTATCCTGCTCTTCTAAGCAATCATTCACAATTAACTTTGACAAAAGGACCTTTTTCTGAGGCAGTCACTGCACGTGGTGGGGTTACCAGTAAAGCAGTCAGACAGCCTGAGACTTGGTCTCAGCCACTTCACATCTTCTGAGGACCTTGCCTTTTATAGACCATTTATTCCTAACCATGCAGCTCCAAGGCCGGGTATCATCCTTGGCTCCTGTGCTTGTCTTGCTGTTGTGACCATACAATGAGGTGGCAAAAGGGACAGGGTGCTGTTGCTGGGGAGGAGGAGGGGAAGGAGGAAAAAAGGAAGAAAAGGATGATATAGGTTTTGTGCAGAATATCATCAACCATGGGAACACAGCATCTGTAGGTGATTTGAGAATGTAAGGGCCTGTGACATTAGCCAAAAGAGAAATGAGAGTGAGGGAGAACAATGGACAAAATGGTGGCCTTGTAAAATCTGGTGCAGTGCCTGGGAGCCACAAGAGCAAGAAGCTATTTGGGGTAAGACACAAGTAGCCACAGAGAAGAGTTTTCTTCACTGGGCCATGAGCAGCCATCACTTGTTCTCCCCTTGTACAGAGTCTCCAAAACCTTTTGGGCAAAGCAGCCTGCATACAAAGGGAGCTAGGCCAGGGCTGGCAATATTTCAACCAATCTTTTTCACTTCCAAAGGTGAATGTAAACAGGCACATGAAGAAATCTAAGTGCCCTCTTTCACAGGAGAAAGATCTTGCTATTGAGGGGTGGTATGGTATTCTGTTCCTGTGTGTGGACTCCTGTCCATGCTGTGAGCTGCTGGTGCCTGTGCAGTTGCAGGCTGTCCAGCCTCTGCTGACACCAGTCTGTCCCACTAGCCCAGATTTCTCTAACACACAAAGAAACATCACATCCTTACTCCCACATGGTTACTGCCACCCATCATCCCACCTTGACCTTGCACTGTACTTTACACAAGCACTTGTAGCAGTGTCTCCTGCCCCTGTTTGAAGCCATAGGCCAGGTTATGGATGGGAGGTAGAGACTGGCAAAAGACAAGGGGAATTTAGCAGAGGAGGCAAAATCTTCCACTTTCAGTAACTGGCTATAAGGAGGTCTCAGTCAGTAACCCATATCCTCTTGCATTGTGGCCATAAATACTGCTCTGTCCGTGGGGAAGGAGCCAAGATCCCTTCTCTGTCTCCTCATCTGCATTCCCTTCTAGGCAAGCACCACATCTGAGCAGGCTATTTTTGTGCCGGAGGTTGTTGTCTTCTCAGAATTGCCTTGACAATGCCTGTGGCACCCACTCCCTGCCTCCTGAGAGCAGCTGCCAGGCTGAGGTTCTCCCTCATCCTCAATTAGCCATAGGAAAAAAAACAACAATAAATTCCCCAGCAAGGTGCTGCATTCTCAGCCCACTCTGGATGGACTGGATTCAGCATCTGGTTCTGCCTTTCACTGGTTCGGGATTTCCTGTTCAAGGGTGATGGGCTGTAGGGACGATGCTTCAGCCTCTTCCTTCACTGCCCCCATCACCCCCTGTCCCTGCCTGTCAGGCCTTTATCCTCATTGAGATGCAAGGCTGGCCGCTGAGCCGCCTGCTCCTGAAGGCACCTTCCCCTCCTTCCCCCCCTTCTCCCGGGGCTGCCTGTGGAGCTATTCTTCAGCCTCTGCATTTCACAACAGCTCAAAGGCAGATGCATCAATCCTTTCAGGGGATGGGGACGTGAGGAGAATGGCAAAGGGGTTTCAGGCAGGTGTTGGTAGGTTCCCAGCCTTCTCACAAGCTTTGTCCCCTACCAGCTTGTGCCTGAGGCTCAGACTGAGGCGTGGGGCAGAGGTGGGGAAGGGGAGAGGATGGGGAAGAAGGGTGCTGGGGTCTGCTGACCCCCTCAGCATGCCCAGCCAGGATGCAGGCACAGTCCTAACTGCCTACACACTTCAGCCTTTCCCCTGTCCAAGGAGCTGGGATCCAACCCTGTCCTCTGGAGGTTTACACCAGAGACCAATTCGACCCTGGTGCAGGCAGCTGAGGGAGCAGGAACAACCCATGGCTGCTGGCAAGCGTGAAGGGTGGGGAGAAACGGGAGACGTGGGGGGTTGCTCCTGGGTGCTCTGGACAAACAGCACTTCTGTGTCACACACTGAAATGAGTTGGGAATGATTCAAGACCAGGTCTCCATGACTCCCCCTTCCC